GTTATAGGAGTTCTAACAGACGCTATGCTGCATGACAAAACATGCGTCTGCGACATCTACCATTGCAAAAATAAGTAGTAATCAGTTTGCTTATCGACTGAGCTTCTCTACCGCGTGGCAACGCCGCTTCTCATGATTGTCCGCGCCATGATAAATAGCGTTCGAAAGGGGGTAAAGATCCCCTAAATTGTAATGCTTGTGGTTTATTGAATACTGCATTAAAAATTGTGCAAAAAAATAACGTTAGATTTAGGATAATTCGCATCATACGTTGTATTACGCTGTTAAAGTACTTTTTGATCGCCGTGTGTATATGTGTGCGTGCGTGCGTCCGCGCGCGCTCGCGCGTGTGTGTGTCCATAGAAAATGACTTATGTAGACTTCACGTGCTTCTAGAAAATAAATTAATAACACTTTTGTCCTCATCATCCCCCTTACACACATGTGTATATATATATATATATATATACAAACACTGTCTCTGACTTTCACCATTGGAATCTGATACAATTTGAGCATCAGGCAAAGCCGTTTACATCCACAAGGTTCTGAAGCAAGTCTATCCGAACACTGGTGTCTCTTCCAAAGCGATGAGCATTATGAACAACTTCGTCAATGGCGTCTTCGAACGCATTGCCTTCAAACCTTCCCGTTTGGCTCATTACAACAAGCAATCTACCATCACTTCTCGGGAAATCCAAACTGCAGTCAGGCTATTACTCCCTGGTGAGCTGGCTACACACTCCGTCTCTGAGGGAACCAAGGCTGTTACCAAATACACAAGCTCCAAGTAAATTAAGAATTCGCTAAAACAACTGGCTTCGCCCCCCTGCGCAGTTCGCGCACTAACCCCCCAAAAAATGTTTGAAACTTGAAAATTCAATAGCTACATATGATTTAAATTAAATATCTTTAAAATGATGCTCTTGTTAGATGAATAATTAATTGTTACTAAGTTTTTTTACTTTTCTTAATGTTTCTAATATTCCAATATACTTGAAATATACATAAAACATTTTGTTTCGTATTACAATATTTTATTATTTGATGAATACAACTTACATTTGGAATTAAAGTATTTAGAGATAGAAATTTTATCATCAAGGCTTTTTTGTAAAAAAAAAGACATACCTATCAATATAATCGTATGAATTGAAATATATACTGATCAATGTTTAATATTATTATTACATAGGAGTGATATGGTATTTGATACGAAAAATGAAAGTATCGTATTTTTATGATTATAAAATCAGCGTTTAAGAATATACGACGATTTTTGCAATTATAAAATTTCTAGTATGAAATTAAAGGCTCTCCT